TCCGCCGGGGGCGTCAAAAATGCCCACTGAGGTTGCCCCTGCCACTGCTGCTGGTCCACTGGCTCCCGGTGAGATGATCTGACCGATGAGCGAGACCTATGACGGGGCCGTGACCTGTATGATGACCTGGCCGATGCCACCGATTCGGCCTCAGACTCCGAAGAGTATTCTGATGCTGACCAGGGAGGGGCCGAGGAAGCCTGCACCTTACGCTGCGCTGCCATGGCCGATGGCTTGACCCTGTGAACCGCACGCGGTGCTGGTGGGGGCATAAGTGGAGGTCCTTGCTGTAGCGGTACCGTGCCCAGCTGCATCTGATAGGCCGGTAAGTAACCCTCCGGTGCTGTCATGTGCAGCGGCACCGCGCCCTGCTGCTGGGTTGGCACTCCCAGGGTGTGAGCAGGGATCGGTGCCGGGAGAGGCATCAGCTTCGGTACCGTGCGGGGCGCCTGCTGTGACACCGCAGATGGCGCATAGTACGGTGCGGGGCCCTGCATCGCCCAGGGGGCCGTCTGCGGCACTGCAAGCGCACTCGCTCCTGGTGCTGCTGCCGGTGCCGCCGGGAAGGGGCCCAGGGTCGGTGCTGGCGTTCGTCCCGGCTCCGGTGCTGGTGTTCTTCCTGGCACCGGGAAAAACTGCTGCTGGGCCGAGGCCTGCCCTTCACCCAGAGGGTCCCACGACCCGGCCATAGCCTGCTGGGGGGCACTTAAGGCCGGTGCCGGCGCAGTCCGCTCCTGCGGCACCGGGCCCTCTCCTTCATCCACAGCCATGTGAATGAGGTCCTAGGCTGCCTCAAACGTGAATGAGGTCTCAGGCCGCTTCAAAGGTTTCTGGGGTGGAGGGCCGACGGACCTCTCCTAGCCCCACGGGCTGCCCCGGGCTCTTGCCCTTGTCCGGGCTGCGCCTCTTTTTGGAGGCCTTAGAAGAAAGGTGCCCCTCCTTAGGGCGCACCTTCTGGGCACTCCTCTCTGCCGAGCGTCCCCTCAAGCTCTTGGGGGCCCTCGGCACCGGGGACTGCGATCTGTGCCTCGGTGCCTTGTTGTCCAACGGGGGTGCCGCCGCCAGTGCTCTGCAGGCAGAGTGAGGCCACTCCTCGCTCTGAGGCTGCAGTGCCGACTCTATTAGTAGGAGTTTTAGCCGGGAGTCCCTCTCCTTTTTGGTCCGGAGCTTAAAGCTCTTACAGATAGAGCAGCTTTCAGCTCGATGGGCCTCACCCAGACACTTTAGGCAGTCAGAGTGGGGCTCTCCGCAGGGCATAGGTTTGGAGCAGGAAGCACAGGGTTTAAAGCCCTGGGGGCCCTGGCATGCCCTCCCCTCACGGGAGGGTACCGCTGTGCTCCCCTATCTAACTAAATATTTACAACACTTAACAACTACTTAACTAGATAAAAACTTCAACTAGAACTATAATACAACAGATAAGAAATAAAGCTGCTAAGAGATAGGCTATCAGCCTGAAGCATGCTCCAGCTACCGTCACGGGCGGGCGGTAAGAAGGAACTGAGGGGGTGGAGGGGCCAGCAGGGGTATATATGCACCGGTATACCGGCGCCACTCCAGGGGGCTCCCTGCTGGCCCTATGGATACTGCTAAGGGGAAAAAAAGCTCCAGAATCCGTGCACGTGTTGCACGTACACCGAATCAGAATGGACATGAGCAAGCACTCGAAGAAGAACTTGGGAATAAAACTTCCGCTGCCACCACCCAAATGTTGCTAAAAAAACCAGGCGAAAGATCATTTAGGAAATCTCATCCCTAAAATAAAAATCAGGGCACACTATTAACCAATGCCAGGTTAATAAAAAGAAAGGAAAGAACTTTTATTATTACAACAATATTCCCGTTGCAAGTATAATGACTAGATAGGAAGGTAACAAAATATACTCATGGAGAAACTCCATGGGCCTAGAACTTAGTTACAAAGAAAAGCCAAAACATCTTTTAAACAGTGACAGATCTCAGATCCCATACCCAATCCTTAAAATAATAAAACCTAACGAAACTACCTAAACTTTACCCTACTTACAGAAAATGAAGAATGGTGTCTTGCGCTATGTCTAGACTGCAAGCCTCTTTCAAAAGAGGCTCTTTCGAAAGAGCCTCTTTCGAAAGAGAGCGTCTAGACTGCACGCGGAACTTTCGAAAAAGCAAGCCGCTTTTTCGAAAGAAAGCACCCAGTGAGTCTGGATGATCTCTTTCTAAAAAGCCTGTTTGCTTTCAAGAACGCCTTCTTTCGAAAGAGCACTTTCGAAAGAAGGAGTTCTTCCTCGTGGAATTAGGTTTACCACCGTCGAAAGAAAAGCCGCATTCTTTCGATTTAATTTCGAAAGAACGTGGCTGCAGTCTAGACGATGGTGAAGTTTTTTCGAAAAAAGGCTACTTTTTTCGAAAAAACCCCTGAGTCTGGACACAGCCTTGGAGAGAGAGAGACATGCTTGTCCCTCTCTGTAGCTGATGGGTCCACCAATCCAGCGTGAGGAGAACAGGGGTGGGGACAGTCAACACTCTGCCCCAGGACTGAACAGTTGGATTGTGGACTTGCGATAGCCACATCTGTAGTGGGCGCATGCGCAGCCTGGCATGTTGCACTATATAAGTGCAGGCGGCTATGAGGCCCAATAGATGCATGAAAGCCCAGGCGGTGGTCACTGGAAAGTTCTGGATTGACCTGACTGCGGACAGTAGTGTGAGAAAGCGGGAGCTGGGTAGAGAAGCTCTCTGAGACCGGGAATCCAGGGTAGTACCCATGAACTCTATTGTTTGGGTAGGAGTTAGGGTGGATTTGTCCAGGTTTAAAAAAAGACCTAGTTCTTGAAAGAGTTCACGGACTGTGGTGATGTGATCTCTCACTTGGGTTTCTGACTTTCCCGAGAAGCCAATCTTCCAAACAGGAGAACACTTGGACTCCCCTTTTTCTTAGCTCGGTGGCCA